GTGGGACTTTTCTCTCCGGCAGCAGTATAGAAAATGTTCTTTACGACCTGTCCTGTCCATCCTGGCCCCAGGGCTGCAGCATGGGCTATCTCCTGTATAATCTGCTCCAAAGCCTCCTGCTGCTCAAGACTCCACGTCAAATTATGCTTCTTCCATGTCTTACAATGAGGCTGTAGTTTGGAACACGCATTCTCCAAAAGCCCACTGCAGCCAGAAAAGATGGTGTCTCTTTCTCGCTACAGGGTGGAGACGTAGCAGCGATTTAGGCGGTCGCATCTCCTGGGATGTGACGATGCCCATCGTGCCATTTTAATCCTAGGAACTGATTTCCCTAGGCAGGCCCTTTCACTTCGCGTCACTTAATAGCAAAACGAGCTAGCAGAAGAATATGGATTATTCATTGCGCTTTCCTGAAAACTTCTGCTGTATCCCCCACACAACAATATCGTCAATAGACTGCAGATGCCTGGGAGCACCTCCCTGTTCCAATGCGGTTTGTATCGACCGACAGCAAATGCTTAGGCTGTGTTTGCACTTCTGGGGCAGGCAAACAGTTCCAGTTATACCGAGCGCCCCTGCAGATGAAAGCAAACTGGCCTGCGTTCTGTGGCCAAAGAAAGGGAAAAGAAGGCATTAGCAATGCCAGTGTTGGCATACTGCAAGGCTGCTTGTGACTCCAGTTCATACAGGAGTTCTAATGTGTCCGGGACAACAACCCTCAGTGGGGTGTGACTTCATTCGGGCCGCGGTAGACTACCGTCAACCTCCTCAGTTCTCCACGGGCTTGGCACACTTGCCATTTGGGGATGTCAAAAGTTGAGTGAGTTTGGCTTATCGCTCCCTGACTCTTTAGCTGACAAATCACCTTACAAACGGGGAGTGAGGAATCCATGCGGGTGCGGTACTGCGGTCTGTGCAATGTTTTTGTAGCAACTGGTACCTGTTGCTTTTCCACTTGCACTTTTCAAAGAATCCGAGAAAGACATTTAGCAGACAGAGTTATAAATGTTGGACAGACTCAGCTCCGTTAGGAAACGATAAATGAACTTCTTTTATTGAACAAACCTTACGCACTTTTGCACTGTGCAGAACTTCCTAAACTGCACTTCCTCACATGAAGTGCAGCAGCAAATGAAATCAAGCATGACTTCTAAAATGAAGGATCACATCACAAACACTGGAAATACCAGCAAAGCTTCTACATGAAGCACATACTTTATATATTAACTTATAGTTTACTTAAACCTCCTAGGAGGTTTCTGGAATGTACGGAGGATAACTTTCTGATGCGGTTGATGACAGAGCCATGAGGAGGATCTGCCTCACTAGACCTGCTGTTCACAGAGGTCTGGTGGGAGATCTGGAGGTCAGGAGCTGTCTTGGACAGACTGATCATGAAATGGTGGAGCCAGGAGGCGGAACGGTGTAACTGCTACCTTGGAATTCTGGAGGGTGGACTTTGAATTATTCAGAAGAATAGTAGGGTAAATCCCCTAGGTTTCAGTCTTATAGAGTAAAGAGGTCCAAGATGGCTGGTCACTCCTCAAGAAAAAGACTTAAAGGCACAGGAGCTGGCTGTCCTTCGGAGATGCAAAATGAGCCTGAAAGGATGAAGACTGGAATGATGAATAGGGAGCTATTCTTGAGACTCTGGGAGCAAAAGAGAATGTATCTCCTGTGGAAGAAGGGGATGGGTGATGCAAAAAGAGAACAGAGAAGTTGTTAAGATGTGTAGAGAGAAAATCAGAAAGGCAAAAGCCCGGCTTGAACTCAACCTGGCCTCTGGGGTAAAAAGGAACAAAAAACTCTTTTACAAATACAGTAACAGTAAGAGGAAGATTAAGGAGAATCTCCATTCTTTACTGGATGAGGCTGGGAATGTGACCACTGAGGAAAGGAAAAAGGCAGATGTTCTGAATGCCTTCTTCATGGCTGTCTTTAAAGGTCAGACCAGTTATCCTCAGAGAACTCCGCTCTCTGACCTGGTAGTATCAACTGAAGTGCAGACTGAACCCCCCCTGATTCAGGAGGACGCAGTTAGAGACCTACTACTCCAGCTGGACTGTTGTAAGTCCATGGAGCCTGATGAGATTCACCTGAAAGTGTTGAGGGAACTGGCGGAGGCCGAGCCACTTGCCATTATCTGTCAGCGCTCCTTGTTGACTGCTGAGATCCCAGGAGACCGGAAGCTTGCAGACATGATTCCCATCTACAAAAAGGGTTGTAAGGAGGATCCGGGGAACTACAGGTCTATTAGCCTGACCTTGGTGCCAGGGAAGTGTATAGAGTGAACTGTCTTGGTGGAGATCATGCAGCATGTGCGGGATGACCGGGGGATCGGGTCTAGCCGGCACGGGTTTGTGCAAGGCAGGTCCTGCTAGACCAACCTGATCTTGTACGATCTAGTGACCCATCTGGGAGATGAGGGAAAGGCTGCTGATGTAGTCCACCTAGACTTCAGCAAAGCCTTTGACACTGTCTCCCACAGTATTCTCCTGCAGAAGCGGGCAGCCTGTGGCGGGTACGCTCTTGACTGGATAAGAAACTGGCTGGAAGGCTGGGCCCAGAGAGTGGTAGTGAGAGCTAAATCCAGCTGGCAACCTGTCAGCAGTGGCGTCCCCCCAGGGGTCGATGCTGAGACCTGTCCTCTTCAATATCTTTACTGATTACTTGGATGAGAGCATTGACTGCACCCTCAGTAAGTTAGCAGATGACACCGAGTTGGGTGGAAGCGTTGAACTGGGGGTAGCGAGGCCCTACAGAGGGATCTGGACAGGCTAGAGAGCTGGGCTGAAGCCAATGGGATGAGTTTCAACAAGGCCAAATGCCCAGTCCTGCACGTTGGCCGCAACAACCCCAGGCAACGCTACAGGCTTGGGGCAGAGTGGCTGGAAGACAGTGTAAAGGAAATGGACCTGGGGGTATTAATTGATGCTGAGCTGAACATGAGCCCGCAGTGTGACCAGGTGGCCAAGAAGGCCAATGGCTTCCTGGCTTGCATCAGGAATGGTGTTGCCAGCAGGAACAGGGAAGTGACTGTCCCCTGTACTCGGCTCTGGTGAGGCTGCGCCTCCAGTACTGCATCCAGTTTGGGCCCCTCGCTGCAAGAAAGACATTGAGGCTCTGGAGTGGGTTCAAAGAAGGGCAATAAAGCTGGTGAGGGGTCTGGAGCACAGGCCTTATGAGGAGTGGCTGAAGGAGCTGGGATTGTTCAGTCTGGAGAAGAGGAGGCTCAGGGGAGACCTTATTGCTCTCTGTAACTACCTGAAGGGAGGTTATAGAGAGCTGGGGGTCAGCCTCTTCTGTCACGTAACTGGTGATAGGACTAAAGGGAACGGCTTCAAGCTGCGCCAGGAGAGATTTAGGCTGGACGTTAGGAAATACTACTTTTCTGAAAGAGTGGTCAGGCACTGGAATGGGCTGCCTGGGCAGGTGGTGGAGTCACCGACCCTGGAGGTGTTCAAAGAACATTTGGATTTTGTGTTGAGGGACGTGGTTGAGGGAGAAGTATTGGTGAGAGGTGGATGGTTGGATTGGATGACCTTGAAGCTCTTTTCCAGCGTTGGTGTTCTGGTGATTCTGTGATTATTATTCCTTGTTGACGAGCAGATGCTGAAAAGGTAAGTGGTTTCATGTCCTATTTTGATAAACTCTTCTGACCTTCTGTGTGACGTGAATGTCTTGTACAGTATGGTTTCCCTTTCCCAAAGTTATCTGTTACCTCTCTTAACCTCAGCAAAGTTATATTCCTCCATCCGAACGCAAATCAGAACATATCGCTTGGGATGCTCAGTAATAAGAAAATTACAATATTGTAAATAGGCAGAGGAATCATAATTAATTACTGCTCTGTATATCTTTAAAGGTGTTATGAACTTTTTGGTGAAGAATGAGATCTCGGGCTTGTTCCACTGTTACACTGGGATAGAATCCGCTCCCCACGCCCTCACCTAGAGGTTCAGGGGCCTTGCAGACGCTTGTATTTCCAAGTATTTTAAGTTAAAATAAGGAAAATAATAAATGAAGCTAAAATAAATTAATAAAAACCAACAAACAAACAAACAAATACAGTTAAACTAAAATAAAATAAATACAATTTCATGAGTTTAGAGAAAGTGAAAGCATTCTGTCAGCCCCCAGCTCCATAATCTGTGAAAAGGCTTCTACACGGTTCTATCGGTACTTCCTTTCCCTTGCTTAACAGTTCCATACAGTTATATCAGAAACCTAATTTGCCTGCACTAGGATTTCAAAGAAGTTGAAACATGTTAATTTCGAAGTGATAAAATGCAGCATACTCGAGAGGAAGAGAGAATGATCCAACCGTAGCTCCTTCTCTGCCAAATAAACTCCTGAGTACTTTACAAAACATGCTGGTAGACAGCACGCGCCTTCAGGCTCAAAATAATCCTAACAAACTAAACTTCACCATGCCTAGATCTGTTTAGACACAATATTACATCACTCTAAAACTGCATATTCAATATTTTATGCAGATGACTAAGTTATAGTTTTGCTGTAGTAATGTAATACCTTGTTCACTGAAGTAGAGCACCCAGATCTTTTCAGTTTGTTTAATTCTCCGATTTTCCTCAGGGAAATCAGGAGGATCGCTGTGTTTATATAAACTGTTCAAATCCAAGTTTCGAATGAATGATTCCATTATTGGACAAAGGCAGACCCAACGCGTTTTAGAGATGGCTTCAAGCACCAATTTTCTGAGATTTTCCAGGAAACCCGAACTTCAGGGTGAGATTGCCAGAGAAAAAAATACTATTGTGAGTTTGGGACATCCCCCAGCTGCACTGTCACCTTGGTCCAGGTAAGGCCTGACTTCCCAAACGCCGTGCGTACTGCTGGATGTAGCGGAACTCAGACAGCATTCACATGTGCCGTCGGGCCGTGCACACTGCTTGTCTCAAACCTTGCCTCAAAATCACAATTCCACTGATCTCCTGCTAGAAAATAATTTACAGAAAGAAGGCAGATATCCCACTCACCTCACACAATAAAGGCATTAAAACATACATATTATCCAGAAGCTCTCATTAGCATCGCTGGCCAATTCTGGTTCGGTTTTTGTATGAGCAGAAGTGTGGACTTCCAGGGAAAGAGCTTCTGATGATGGTACCACGATAGCTGGTCGCAGAACTGTTAGCTGGGTAACAAATCCGTCGCCCTCAAAGAGGAACGGTCTGCGGCTGGAACAGGAGGCAGATTCTCTCATACCACGTCCTCAGTTCCTGAATACTTGGTCACCGTGCTTTTGCCACAGTTTTGTTACACACAGACAAATGGACATTTGTGCAATCATTTTGGCCTGACGAATATTTGACGGCAGGGTGATTAATGCCTTATCCTTGGTATATTACTAGTTACCTTATAATTTTTTTCTTCTTACTCAAATCTATCCATCTGCCTGACAGTCTGCCCAGAATGCCTTATGAAAATAGTAAAATAAAATTAAAACAGCACGGGGAGGGAAAGGGTACAGAGAAGAATGCTTAGCAGGGGAGCTAAGCGTCAGGTAACAGTCTGACTCGTTCTTCACAAAAGCTGAGCAGAATATGGCAGCCTTAATGTCAGCTGCCAACTTCAAAAAACCTAACGCCTGTGAGAAGAAACTCTCCCTCCTAATTATACCTCGACACGGTCCTCTTTAACAGAGTCAGTATTTTGCCAGGAATAAACATTGCTATTTCTTTCCTAGGCAAGCTGCTTGGCTGTTTCAATTGTCTTTTAAACATTAAGGAGCTGGAAACATTCGTCACATCCTGTGCTGTTTACACAGCATCACACAGTCCCCTTTGAAACCATGACGCTTTACGGAAAGCTCGACACGCGGTTCCATCCAAACATTTGCTACTGTATTTGCCAACCACAAAACAATTTCTGCAAACGCTGAGCAAAGCTTTAAAGGTTCTGACAGCCACCCAAAGTTGTGCTAGCACGACTGCTGAGGAAAGGTGGTGTCAGGGCACTCGGCCTCCACCGCTACTACCTGGATGTGGGAAGAGACGTGAACGCAAAGCGCTCACTGCTCCGCACAGCACAGCTCCGGGCAAAGACTTGCTGCCCGGCCTCTACAACCCTGCTCTTCCAAAGCACTGGAGAGCGCAAAGAGCGCAAGGACAGTTAGAGAAAAGTGTGAAAGGGTAACTTACGTTGTATAGAGAAACACTGGGAAAGGACTGCTGTGGTTTCTTCAGTATTTTACACTGACGTTGGAAGAGAAGGCAGTCAAAATAGGACACCTACAGAAATCTCTCTTCAATTCTCTCTCTCTGTTCGTTTACTCTCCAGTTGCTGTACCTGAAAAAATGCAACAGTCAAAAGTTTATCCCCTGCTATTTCCGAGTGATGCGGCCGACTCTCCTTGGCCATGTACCGATCATGTAAAATCAGACAAGAGCAGGGGAGGCGAGAAGCAATCTAGCTTGAGCCTGAAACTTCTGAACTGGGCGTTTTCTGTAAAAGCTGCTTTTGTGTCAGAAGCTCCCATCGCCACGCTAACTTACAGAGCGTGGACTCATCCATCTGGTTTGCGTAAATTGCAAGTTACAAGCGAAGCAGGGAACAAACACAGCCCGGTTTTCGCTGAACTCCCCAGGCACCAGCCTTACAAGGAACCCGAGGTACAAAGGCTTTGTGAACAGCGGGCCAGCCCACGCCGCTCTGCTCTCCGTCACGCGTGTGGCTGGGCTGGTGGGCTGGCTAACTCCCCAGGCATCCCTCGGCCCTGTGAGCGGCATGCTGCCCAGGGATGTGCTGAGCGGCGCTCCCCCCCGGCGACAAAAAATGAGCCTGCAGCATCCTTCCCAGCATGAACAGCCTTTTCGGAAAGGGAATTTAAAACAAACACGAGGTTAAATAAATAAAAAACACAAACTGTGCATTACTTAAAACAGTTCAACAGTTTAGGAAGTCAATTAGAACAACCTGATGTTTATTAATAGCAAACAGAACGCAGGCGCCCGTACTTCAAACATTTCCAGGTGGGAAGGAAATACACTGCGGGTTTTTTTGATTTGCTGTTGTATTTTCCTCTCAGAATTAGCGGAGAGCTGCCTGACGGAAAACCTCTGAGATGATCCTGCCCATTGATTACCACAACGAGCATTTTAATCAAAAGCATCATAAAGTCTCTAAAAGCACCCAGAGAAAGCTGGTGACTCCAAGCTCCTAAAGCCATGTTCACTCTCTATTTTCAGCTACTTAAAGGTCCTGATTAAATTGAAGTGCCAGAGGCTTGAGGGCTCACACACCTTTTTTTTTTAGACAGTTCAAGGTCAGTAGTAAACCGCATTGTTTTTCTAACACAAACACCGAGGAAACTATTTCTCCCTTCTCTATATCAGATAAAGAAGTTTTGTGCTACTTAAAATCAGAAAATGATATTTTTGTGTTCTTTTTCTTTAAAATATCATCTTGTATTTAGCCTTTCGTTTCACCTGAGGACTTCTGCAAGCTTTTCTACTGGGAACGATCTCACTCGGTTTAACACTGAGAACCTCCAAGGGAGGCAGCTTTCCTTAAAGCGTGAATGGGTGAGTCGTTAACAAAATAAAAACACCGCTGTAAACGGTCTGCCTCAAAATCCAAGGCTTGTCACTTGCTCCATTTCTCTCTTTGCTTGATTATGCTCCTCTATCTGGATCTAGAACTGATATGACTAGATTGGTTTGATACTTAAAAAAAATAACAAATAAAGTAATTAATTAGTATATGCAAAGGAGAAAACTATGAACTAATTTTATTCATGTGTATTTTTGCCCGTGCTGTTACAATTCCTTGCGATAACTGTAGAAGTCATTGAATAATTTCAATCGAATCTGATAGACTGCCAGAGTTCTCAAAGATACTATATCCCTACAGCTTTTGTGAAGACAGGCAGCCCTCCAAGATAAGTGAAATACAGTCTTGTGATCCAATATAAAAGGCTACACATAAGCGCAGTCATATTATTAGATACACAAACAAGAAGTACTTGAGAATAGATTTCATGGGTCCTACTACTCAAATGCTACCAGTTGTATACCTTCAGCCTGCATTCTAGCTTTTCTCTGTCCATGCAGAAACATCAAAAGATATCTTTTTGATACAGCAGTAAACGGGGCTTGTTAACAGTTGTGTTATTTTTCCTCTCACTTAGTGATCAAGTAAAGTGAACTCACTCTTTCGGGTGTTACGAGCAGGGGCTGTAGGATTGGCCTGAGTGGCTGGAGTGGCTTCCCAGCACCGCCGAACGGCTGAAATCCACTGAGTCATCGCACGTAGCAAACTACTTCCCCCGTGCTCTCATTTGGCAACACTAGAGGCTAAATAAAAATTTGGATCAGAATTTCTTTGTTCTGTAAAAAGCTTTCAGCTTTCAAGAGGAACGTGCTTTAAAATTAAGCCTTCTATAATTTGTAGCTTCTTTGAAGACAGAAAGGGGGTTTTTATATCACAGAATAATCATGTTATCACAACGAGCTCACTACAGAGAGACTACTGTAAGCCTCTCACTACAAACATTGAAGTCCTTTCTTTAATCCACTCCCCCACAGCACTCTAAATTATCTCCCTCCATCCCCAACTAATGATGCGTCTTGAAACATGGAACAAGGAGAACAATTCCCAGACTAGATTGTGTGTAAAACCTTTATCAAGTCGTATATTTTCAAGTTATTAATCATCCTCCATTTCCAACGTTGGTTTCACGGCAAGTACATTAGTTTATTAACTTCTGTACTTTAATAATCCTGGATGCAGCTATTTTGACTTACCTTTTTTGGAGGCTATTTATTTTATTCAAAAAATCACTCACAGGTTATGCAGTGAGAAGCTCTGGTTTAGAGAATATCATCTTGTAATATATATACGCTCAATTTTTTTCTACTTGGTTGGCCATAAAAGTATTATAAAGTTTACATAAAAGTATGCAAGTCATGGCATGTTCTCACTAAGTTCTCCCACATTTCCTGTTTTCTTAACTTTCTCGAGATTGAATGCGTTTCTTATTATTCCAATGACCCGCATTCTGTGCTGCTGGTACCTGTGCCTGCCGTTACCAAACCGCGCAAAGATCGCCTTCCTCCTTCTGTCAGTTACTCTCGTATACATCCGAGCTTTGTGATAATCACAGGCCCATTTTAGGGGGGAAGTTCCTATTCCCTATAGTATTTGTCTGTTTTTATAGGCGTTTTTAACCAAATAAAAAACCTAAAAAAAAAATAACCGCAATACATAACGCTTTGTTGACTTTAAAATGGAGTCAGAACAGAAGCCATTCGTTTGATCCGTTCTCATTCATTCATTAATTTACACTCTATAGAAATCAGGCGAAGAAAAGAGGGACTCACATTTACAAGGAAACCAACAGCATTCCTCCTGTTATTCGGCAGTAAGTCATCTTCCCTGACAATTAGGAGCAGATTCCCACTGTCCTAGTGTAGGTGTCCACACATCATCATTTCCATACAAGCTTTGTCCGCGCAACTTCTCCAGTTGAACAACTGATGTCCTGAAAAAGATACAGGTCTTTTGCTAGGCGTGGACATAAGAAAGGGAATTCAGATCGCAGAATCAAAACACAGAGATAAGCTGCATTCAGTAAAAAGGTTTAGTCGGGTAACTCAGCAGACTGTTTTAAACAGTTTACTCATTTCTAATGGCTGCAAGCACCCGCTAGATCAGCACAAATTCCAGACCCTGACTCTCGGCCAGTCCCCCGTTGCCTGCCTTGAATACAGATCTGTTGTGGAGGCAGTGTGTGCCTGCTGGCCCATGTCAAGACTGTCTTTCTCAACTCCCGAAAAATCAGAAACCCCTTTCCTCCTTTTTCACTTTCCCAGAGAAAACATCTCAAAAGCTGATGCGTAATAGACCCCACTGTTAGATCTACGTGTGGGCGCTGTCAGTGCTTTGCTTTATACAGCATCCAGATTTAGAAGGATCAGTGCGATTTACAGAGGTAAGGAGAACCAGCGAACAGATTTATGTAGCGTTATCTAGTTACCTAAAAGACTCTATGGGCAGTGAGGCCTAAAATCATTGGACTAATCTTTTCTCTTTGACATGCTTTCTTTATGGGAGCAGTACCTAATCCCTTGTTTTCAAAGACTTCTTGGAAATCCAACTTCTTCAGCTTCACTGTTGACTTACTTTGTTACATCTGAAATGTGTGGTTTTAACAAATCCCACTTGTGTCTAATCCTTCTCAGACAATTCATAGGTCCAGTTACAACAATAACTTGAAAAACTCCGAAAAACAGGAACAAAAGCCATGTTTCTCCCCGCTGAAGTCTCGTCATTCGTTTTGTAGCTGCCCATTTGTCTCCTAGCTTTAATACAGAACTATAATCCTGGACCGCGGCACTCAAAAAGGAAAACGCACAATGCTTAATTATAAAAAAGGAACCGATGTCAAGTTATTTCATGCTTAAACTTTCAAACTGCTACGGGAGAAAGTCTCACTTAGTTCCAAACACAATGCCGCAGCTCACAGAGGTTGGTGCGTCTCGCTGTCCAGGCGAGGCTCCTTTCCCCCAGTGCTACCTACCTGACTGACTCAACTCTGCTTACCCACGCTCCCGAAACAATTATTCTGGGAAGTTAATAGTGTAAGGAACTAACAGAGCCTTCTGGAAGTAGCCTTCCGCTTAAAACTGATTATGCCTGCTTTCTCAAACAGATGAGGGTAATTAAAGAAAAAAGGGTATGAGTTCTGCGGCCCCTGACTGGGCAAACGCGAGGCAGAAGACAAGGGATTCTGCTGAACGAGTCAGTGTTTCTAGCCTTCCCAGTTTAAGTGCTTGTTACAAAATGGAATAGTTCTGAGTAGCAAAGATGGTCTTTGAAATTGTAGCTGGCTCCTCATGGGACAATGCCTCCAAATGCAAAATTATCATACAAATTTGCACACTAAGACAGATCTGTAACAAAACAGTAAAACAAAACTAAGAATGTTTATATAAAAGGCCATTTTCATTTATTCTGATCATTAACAAATGTTCTTCTCAGGTTTCAATCCGGAAAGTTTTACGTAAGCGAAGAGCAATTTGCAAATGATGTTTTAAACCTGTACTGTTTGTCACAACTGGGTTCCACTCAGTCACTTCCTGACTGTGTTAAAGGTAATGGCAAAACGTGCTCTGATTAAATAACTAAGCCCTTGGCAACCGCAATATGCAGCTTATCTGACAACTCCCCATAAACCTGGAAAACTTTTATCCTCTTTTTTTTACTTCCTTCTCTTTCAACCAAGGAATTATTTTCAACAATGCAACTAGAGAGAACACAAGAAATGAGGAACAAAAATTTTGAAGCAATAGAAAAAAAAAAGTACTTTGTATAACTATGTTAGCAACTCAGATATTTGTATATTCAGCATCCCAATCATTTGTAATTAACTGTGGTCCTCCCATCGTGGTAATTTACCACAGATAAAAATAGCCACGAGTAAGAGAATTGCTCTTCAGCTACTGTAAATGAATGCAACTCTTACACTATGAAACATTTCCCCTAAACATACTATGAGCTCAAATGACAACAGGATATCAAATGCTATCAAACAGGGTATTTTTTCTGGGCCCGAACCTAGCCATACTCAGAAAACATTTCTGGTGGCTTAGATAAAATTAAATCCAAGTCCTAATAGTTACTTCTGTGAAATCAAAAGGCAGTAGAAGTTTTTGTGAAGCAGAGACTTGTTTACCTTGGCCCATCTCTACAACCAAGTGATGAAACGCTGCTGCTTCACAAGCAGTTTATCAATTGCATCAGACAGTTCGTAATGCTTGGATTTTAAGGTGTATTTTTTCCTTTGTCTGCCCCCTGCCTCCCGTATCCTTTAGGAGTCTCAAAATAAGAATCGTGACTGTGCAGGTCAGAATGACAATGTACTGCTTTCCATAAATGTAATTTCCTGACGACAGTTTACAGCTTCTTGTAAGTGTGGATTGACCGCAATCCACGTAAGGATTCCTCTGCTGCCATCTGCTTCTCATTCAGGTTTACCTGAACTGATACTCCAAAAGGGCAGATGAGGATCTGAAGTTATACCCTGTTAGTCTCCTACTATTTAGTGGCGAGGCGCTTCGTACCTGAAGAAAATGCTTGCATCTATTTTCTCAGTTTAAAGCATTTTACTTCTTCCCTTCCCTTTGCCTCCATTTCCCCCTTCCTGGTGATGTAGGTTTTTAACAGTCTTGCTATCTCATACATGACTTAGTTCCAGGTTCTGCTTACATTGATGCCTCTTGTCTCTTTCCTCTGGCACTCTGGCGTCCTACACTCCACAGAACGTCATCTCACAGAGCTTTCTGGGAGCACCACGCCAATAGCCTTCCTTTCCACAGCCTGCTTTTTCCTCAAGGTCAGTTTTGAGAGGCTGAACTTCTGACCGGTTGCGATTAATGGCGATCGCCTAGACGTGACAAATATTCTGATCCCAAAAGCATTTGAGCTTAGAATCACAGAATCATAGAATCATAGAATCATACATATGATAGAATCATAGCTTCATACGTTAAAGAAACTGAAGTGTGAGCTTTGCAGCATGCTCTGCAGGGACGTGGACAGGAAGACACTTTGTAGTGGTGCTACCCCAGATAAGGTGATTGGGCTCTTGCCCTTGGAATTTAGATGCTGTGATTAAAAGCTGTTAGCTCATTAAATACACGTGCACGTTACTGATTTTTGCACTTGTTGCTTTCTCCTCCTGTTCAGTTCTCCTATTCAGTACTTATATCCAGATTATACCATTTTCTTCAGATCTGTTCATTTTAAGAAGCAAAAGTTTGCCTGCCATATGCTGTATGTGTCCATGCTAGAGTGACAAGGACTGAACTTCTGCACTATTGATACGAGATCAAAAGCAACTATTTTAAAAGCTGCTTTGATGGCCCATGACATCAAGAAGATATGTGTTACACTGAAGTCATTTCAGCTGTCATTTATAATATATCCAATATAAAAGCAGACTGATTTAGCAATCTAATCTAGGCCGTTTAAAGCGATATTAAGCAGTATGCAGTGACATCAAGCAGTCATCAGATGTGAGAATTTGTTACAAGGGCTTTAAACCTAGACTCCAAACACATGTTTACAGAAGTAACTAGTTCCAGGTGCCTCGTTAAACAAAAATTCACTAGCAGAGAGTTATGAAAAATTTGGCCATGGAGAAACAAGTTTCTAGAGCAAAAACAAAACCGAAGAAGAACAAGTAGGCATTTTGTTTAAAATCTTGCCTTTTTTTCCCTGCAAAATCTCAAGTCCACAACAAGTGAAAAATTAGTCTTGCTCATTTTATCCGCATGGAATAGGAATCACATTTGAAATTTCAAATAGTTTCACGGGGAAAAAAAAAGGTAGAATTTCCCATAAGGTTTCAGGGAAATAAATCTGGGACAATTCTTTAGCGCTGCTAGCATTTTTCAGTTGAAAAAGAATTCTCTTCCTGTCCACTTCCCCTGATTCCCCCTAACTGAGTTGACAAATATGTATGTTTGTATGCTGTTCCTTTCTACACTTTCAGACTGTCACATAGAATTTATGTTTTTCCTATAATCACAAATGTAACTATTACACAGCAGATGATGGTCATTAAGACGATAGTAGTAGCTTGGCAAATATATTAATCTAGAAAAACACTGCTTCCAATCCAGGACTCCCAACTCTCCTCACTTTGTCATCATGACCAGTGACCTGTGACTAGGCTAGGTCATAAAGTCAAGAAGCCTATGGACAAGCAGTCGTTAGCTACCTGATCCTCTGCTGCACAGTCACCTAAATGCAAAGCAGGCTGAAGTATTCATTTTAAAGGACTTCTGTAAACAACACTTAAGGATTTTTTTAAAAAACATTTTTCCTTTTAAAAGAAAAGAAGCTAATTTTAGTACTTGTTATTTCAGTAGCTCGTTTTTTCCTCTTTTTTAAAATAAAAGTGAACTATTACCCCATTTAATGATGATGCAACCTTTCTGGAGCTTAGCTTTCTGGAGCTGTGTGTTTCAGAAAAAACACACACTGTAAGTACAAGAAAAAAAATACAATGAAAAATGTAAAGTGTCTCACTTCTCAATGCTGAAAAGTCATGTTCAGAAAGGAAAACGCGGAGTGAAAAATAGACCAGCAGGCATAACTGTTCAAAACAAAGCAAGAGAACTGGAAAGCAGCACCATCCAAAGCTGCATTTTTTGTCCCCGTAAAAGGCCTATGGACTAATACATTCCAATACAAAAACTGCTTGGATTTAATACGGATTTAAAATAGTCTACGGATGCTGTAATATTTTTAAGAAAAGGGACCACGTGAATTCCTCTGGGTCTCAGTTATTTCTCTGAAGAAAACAAACGGCTAATCTCTCAAGACCGTCTCAAGTATCTCCCATCCTCGGAGATTAAATTGCTTTGGTTTTAAGTAAAACTCTTCAATGCAATGACAGGTGGCCCGTCTTCTCAGAGTACATCAAGAGATGCAGATTTGAAAGCCGAGATAAGCCATAGCTCCTGTTCGACCGAAAGATGTGGCCGATAAGATGAATGGTTTAACATTCTATTACTAGTCTTCTACATTATTTGAACAGTAATAACAACTCGGATTGAACTGTAACTTACAAACTGGCTTTGCCAGAGAGATATCCAGGGAAGCAGCCCTGAAGTTCGGGTTACAAACCACTGCAGTTTAGAACAAATAAATGAATATGAAAAGCAGTTTATTGGCTACCAGAGCTAATGAGATAAAGATCTGTATACCAAATACCCTGAAAGCATTCAGGAATGAAGTGCCAGCAAATCCCTTCACTAAAAGCAAAAACTTGCAATATTTATTATTTTTTACGAGTTTCTGTGCTGCGTGAAACTATATGCGCCTCATCAAGCTTTTCATAAAAGTTATTTATTAACCAGCGTGAGAAAAATCTCATATTAAGCACTAGCTACATTTAATGCAGAACTACCAAGAAATCCTTACAGTTAACGTCCTCTATTACTTTTGTTGTCGATATAAGAAAACTTAAGCTGCAATTCCCATTGTTCCCTCACTTGTCATTTCTCACTACACATTTAATTTAATTTAGTACTTATTTTGGAATAATTTTGATTAAAAGATACTGCATCAATAAAAGAAATTATCTGTGTGTCTGCGGATGAATCCACAATATCTTCTAACTGAGGGGTCTAGATGTTAGCTGTTTTCAATCAAGTAAGCCTTACATTTGGAGTTTAAAGCCTCCTTTACAAAGGCGTTTCTGTGCAAGCTTGAGACATTTTTGCAGTATTTTGCTGTAGCTCTGTGTGGCCTGAAGATATTGGCAGTGTGTGTAAGTAGCCGAAAAATCAGATAAATTTTCCGACACACAAAATGTAATTCCTTGCATGCCTGAAGTTGTCTGCTTTTCCTTATGCTCACATGAATTTATTGAAGATCTTATCTCAACCTGTGAATTTTATCCTGACAGATATCTTTGGCCTTCTGGACCATTCTCTTAGTCAGGTTTTATTCATACCTTCTGTCCAGGGCTTGCTCTGCGTTCTGTTTTCCCACATCTTCTCAGGGTAATACTTCACTGACGGAGCAAAAGATGACTTCTTGAAAACTTCTTGAGGAACCTGTGAATTAAAATACAGGTTTGACAATGGTTCATTTGCTAATATTAGTCAAATTTGACACAGGCATGCTTTATGTATTTCAGATTTATTTCTTTACTCTAAATAATTCAAAAATTCAAGACGAATTTTTCTCAGTAATAAAATCCATCATTTCCTCTGCCTTCCATTTCTCTCCAAGTGATGGTTAATTTTCAGAACCCTTGTAATGAGAGGTCAAAAGAATGGCAAAGCGGGATCAACAAAGAGAATTCTAGAGACCTTTAACAGCCCCAAAGACCACATTTTCAAGGAGTTAATTAACCATACTGTTGTTGCAATAAGGGAATAAAAAGAAATCATTTAGTTCTTTTGATATTTGACCATTTACAGTATATCTTTCAGAGAAAGGATCTGTTTGTATTTGTTGCTTATTGCCAAATGAATGACCATAAAATATTCTTTGTCCACGTTCTCTTCTTCAGTAAAAAGCTGTAACTTTTTTTTATATTCCCAGAATTTGCAGGAGGTGAGTGCTGTTTTTTGTCAAAAACCTGCACTCCTGCACTAAGAAACGCATGTAGTCTTAGTGATGCTTGAAACAGTGAACTATTTTTTCTGTTGGTTTTCTTTTAAGATCTTTCTTGGGGCCACTCTGCCACCTGCCTACAGCTGAACAGAACTGTGCAATACTTCTCAGATTTGCAAAACTAGTTACGTTAAACGTGCAAAAATATACATAGGTTGAAAGCATGAATTTGTGCTTCTCCACCTGTATTTTGTCAAGAACATACTCATAAATGCTTTAGTCAATTGAAAGTAAAAAGAGCAGTTAAAGGATGCTCTTCAAATAATTCGCAGGAGTAAAACTTCTCCTGAATTCAATCGCATCACAACCGACTCCCACAGCCATCAGCTTTGACAGATGTCAGATTATTCAGCTTTTCTACTCTCTCAACTCCATGTAGCTATTCTGCCCCTATCTAAATGACTTGATCACCACGTGAAGGAACGTCTTGTCACTCCACTGCCTTTGAAAAAAAAGTCCTTCCTTTGTGCTCTGTGGTAGGCAGAACTAACTCCAGCACATGAATGGAGACGTCCTCATGAACGTAAACTAAGAATATCTCAATCCCTTCGAGAAAAGACACACTCTATTTTTATTCAAATAACTATTTATAACTGTTTAGAAAAATCTTATACTTGGTTCTCTTTCTTCAACTTATACTCATGAAGCTGTCTCAGAGGTATTAACCAGTATTGGGAACATCGATTATAGTTTCTGAAAAAGGACACTTAGAATTTAGAAACAGATCCTGGGGCTACCAAATGGGAACAAATACATGTTTGTATTACATGTTTGTCTTACATGTTTATATTACAAATTACATAGATGAAAAGTAACACTGTCCAAGCACAATTTACCTCAAGCCGTAATAATTATGTTTAGTGAAACAGTCTACCTATATCACCTGAATTTCTAAGATCTTTTACAAAAACTTGACTCACGGTCAAGGTGCCTTCATAACTAAAGCACCGAGCTGTACAATGATTCGGTGCTGTGGCTCACTGTTAGCAGTCAGCCTGTGGAAATATGCAATTTTAAGTCTACACTGTAGCAGAATTCCTGAGGAAAAAGTGCCACCAAAGAATTATTAGCTTTACAGAACTGCAAAACAGTGACAGAGGTCAATTTAGGATGTCTTAAATAACATTAATTTGAGTTGTTTCTCCAGGCTTTATTTTTTCTGCAGATAAATGAGACAGGTTGTATTCCAATTGGTTTTATGTATGGTTGCCACTGTAAGGGCAAACCTTTTAAATTTCTCTTCTAGGCTTTAATGTCATTTTGGTGGAACTCAATGAACCAGACTGATAAATCAATCTTATTCATGTTTACATCACAAACAACACTGGACCCTGAGCAGGGTTCCAGAACACCGCAGACAAAATACATAGGATTAGTACACAGAAATAGTAGAAAAGTGTTTTTTCCCCCCTCTGCGTGTCCCCTGGAGGAAAGAAATAAAACTAACTGGGTAAAAATGATCACCTGTTCCCTGAAATTATTACTACTTTAGATACAGGACTCGTATGTTTTCTACTTGAGAAATATTTTGGAAAAAAATAAATATATAAAAATTAAAAAAATAAGGACATCATATAAGTTATCCAAGTTCCTAATTAAATTGGTTGCATTTCACTATTTTTTCCATGGGAATCAATGCTCGTGGTGTAGAGACATTTTACTGCCACTTCTCTAATGGGACCACTAAGCCATTATTTTTGCGAGTGTACCTGATATTCCCATTAACAGCACTGATTCCCAGCAATCACAAATCAAAGAGCATCTTATGGCCACTTCTACCCGATACTCAACTACATTATTAAACTGGCTCTGTCAACTGATAGCAAATACACAGCTGAGCAGAAAAAGTGAGGAAATACACCTAATCCTACATCTTATCCTATTTTCTAGTCTAAAGCATGAAAAAGAAGAGTTCTTTTTAAATGACGACACAGGTATTTGTAGATTTCAAGGAACAGAGGATTATAACTCATACCTAAACAGAGTTTATACAAAAAGTGACCCTTTATTATTAGATTATTATCCCCTAGCATGGATAAGTCCTGCAAGCCCAAGTATCTCAGTTCTCAAACACGTCACTGATTCCTGAAGAGAAACACTATTCGGTGTTGATAAACATTTCAGTTCTTTGGCAGAAGACTCATTACTGCCAGTGCTTATTCTTTGCAGAGAACTGGTTCCTTACTTCAGATCTGTGAAGAACTTGTGGTGAATTTCTTAAGCTCGTTAGTAATTGCTAAAAGGCAAACGCCTTGTGTTGCCACACAGGAATAACCACCCGTACAGAATACACACATCTCCCAAATAACATAGCAAATTTGCTTCCCAGTTTTGTATATTACCTCGCCATGCGTCATTCTGATTTAGGCCTTCATGGGCAAAAAATGCTTTGTTTAGAGTCATGGCAAATGCCTTCAAATTTTGTAACATTTTAGAAGAAAGAGATCCTCCAACTGCATGTGTGTAAGGAATATAACAGTGTTATCAATGACCAGGAAGACTTGCTGTTGACAGATACCCACTGCACAGACCACTTGAAAATGAAGTGCTTTTCAGACATATTCTTTCTGCGTATCTATAATCTCTCTTCTGCCTAAATTCATTTCCTCTCCCATTCCATCATCACCGTCAAGTTCTTAAAAACCTGAATTGCATCACATTCATTGAGTCAAAAACTGCACTTGGACCCCAAAGCTGTAGATCGCTTAAACCTTCATTCTTCACTGCACTATTGTGAGGGAATTAGCAGACGTGGCCTAAGAACATTCAGGCAAGCATGTGCCCTGATGCAGCATATTGTGTAACCCTGATTCACTCCATTTCAGTCCAGCTGAGCACAGGGGAAGGAAGGACACTCTCAGAACTGCTACAGCTGCACCAACCGGACAGAGATCACCATTCGGAAGGTTATCTAGCCTCTCTGCAACACAGAGAGAAAGAGAAAACGTTGTCACGAAAATCCAGGTGGGATCTACTGCGAATGTGAATTAAGGTCTTGCTATGCTGCAAGAAATAATTCCCATTCTTAGGAAGCGTAAAGGCTACATAGTGGCTGCCTATTTTCAAGCTGCTTGCCTGATCTGTATTCAGAAGGATGTGTTTTGTCCTCTTGACAAGATAAATGTTCTACATATCACTGATAACCACATAATCAATGCAGCAAAGTTAAGAGTATTAGCCTAAAAGCAGCATTAGCCGTGCAGAAATTTATTTTTGACTGCTTATTTTTGACAGTACACCCACAAAGCAGTGGATTATTCCTTAGCATATAACATAATTTCTGTGCTTGAAGATCCTCCTATCAATTTTCTTTTAAGAGGACACTAACAAGCATTTCATTCTCTCTCCTGCCTTACAGAAGAACAGAAGCTTATTTCTTTGATTGCTGAGATCCCCTTGTGCACTTTAACTCGCTGTAACATCCTGTGTGCTCTTTGGAAAGCAATTACACACTTCCTTTACTTCATTTTGCTTCTAAATAGCTGCAGAGGCAGAATGATCTCTGCTACCAATCCAACCCAGAAAGCAGTTAGCTTACTGTAATGACAACCTCAATACAAGTTGCCAGCATTTTTCAAAGTACAGGCTTTTGCCTGCAATCTATGAAGACACAATTACAACCAGGCCAGGCTGATGCTTCAACATCTGGTAAATCACCTGCAAAGGCAAATGCCACCTGCACGAGAAAAGTGCTATCATAACAGTAAAATTCTAGGTTTAGAACTTTAAAACTCATGCTGCTAGATATATTTCACCCCTTTCTCTATTCTGAAGGTTAGAAGTAATGCTTCTATGTGCCCAAATAACAGATTTGGATCAAATGTTCGGCCACCTAACCTTTGCTCAGCTTCTTAAGCAGTTCTGCCCAAGATAGCACCTGGGCAAAAGACATACCCAATACTCCAGGACCTAAAGCACATTCACTGGCACTTGAACTTGGAAGCTTTCAGAGATCAAGAAGGAAGCTTGTCCAAAACTTACTGACAATTTAACACAATTTGTAAATGATCTTAAAGAGAGTACAGCATCAGACTCTTTTAAAGTGACCCACAAGGGACACTGTACTGAGTAGCAGAGAACATTTATGCTTACTAGAATGCGGATTTCACCGCAATCCCTAACGCTTCAGCTAGGATCTCCAGCTTCAACAGCTGTCTTTCAACTTTTAAGCCCCAGAGACTAAAACTCACTTTATTTTATTTGAATTGAAGGTGTGACAACACTGCTGTTATCTCCTAAGAATGTCTTACAGTCTATGCTACCAATTTTGAATCTTGATTAGTGAAGGTGACTTGGGAAAAATTACAGACTAAGAACATTGCGTTGTGTTACACCCTTTCTATTTTCTCTCTGAGACTGCACCTGTAAAACTTCCTACTTGCAACGCACATCAAACTGATCCGTGAAAGACTGAGCTAGTATTTGA